CCCCAAAACCCCAAAACCCCAAAACCCCGGAATGGGATATTAAGAGGGAATTTAGATAATGTATAAAATGGAAGAGGTGATTAGATGCTTTAAGGCTAGTTGTGATGGCAAAGCTCAGTATTTTGATGAGGAGGATGATGTTTATGTGTGAGAAACACATTTGAGTAAAGGAGATGGTGAGTTTTTAATAAGAGAGTATTTATTTAAGAGAGCAAGCAAGCATTTCTTATAATTTAAAGCCTTGGAAATTTCTTATGCTTTGTGATTTTATAAATTTTTAATATTTTATGAGATTCGAATAAAATAATACTTTTGTGCCTAAAGTTCATTTAATTAGGAGTCTTTGAAGAAAATTTTAATTTGGCTGACGAAGTTGGAAATTATGGGAAAATATTAGTTTTTCTTTGCCAGTATTTAACTTCGTTGATCAGAAAATGCAACTCGTATCATATTCAAAGAAGATGTTGATGAGAATGTAAGAATACTCGATCAGTCTCTGAATATATTCTCTATTTTTACAAGAAATCCAGCCAACAAAGACTTGTATGAAGAAGCCAATGCTCTTTCTAATAATCTTATCAGAAAAACGAAGGAAATTAAATCTAATTTATCAGAACTCGGAACTTATGGAATTCAAAAAGAGTTACAAGGAATCCAGACAAGAGTAAATGAGATAAAAGAGATCATGGAAATCAATCCAATGTTCATTCAGTTCTTGAACAGATGGTTCCAAGGCTGCATGAAAGAATACATACTCTGAACTCCTCCTGTAAGCTCTTTTTAATTAAATTTCAATGTCGTTCGTCATCTTACCATCTATTAAGATGTGAAATTATAACCTTAGGCAAGAATATTTTCTAAAATTCAATTTGTCACAACATTTTGTATTCTGAGTAGAAAATGATCTCCTTCGATAGCCATTAATCTTTGATTTATTGGAATTTTTAGGCAAATCAATCTAGTTCTCAAGGTCAGAAATTTGCTGGACTCAAAAATGAAGAAAGTAATGAAGAGCAAAAACTAGAGAACAATGAACCTCCCTTGCTGCCTTTCGCTCCAACAGCTTCAGGTGAGACCCTTCTCAATTTTAATAGAGACAAGCTTGAAAAAGAGTAAGTTACACTTTAGACCAAGCTTTATGATATTTCTGAGCTGCATTGCAATTTCTCACTATGCTTGGTCGATTTTGACTAGTTATTATTTTATAGTAGTTTAGTAAAGTATTTCTGAGAAAATCAGCCATCTAAAATTTTGTGCACATAGCAGCCAACATAGCATTGTATTTTAGCTATGAATTACTGTTTAATGGCACCTCTTAATTTGTCCATAGTGCAAATAGTAAGAAAAAGAAATCCTCTCATAAAAGGTCATCATCGAATTCCACTTCGGCACCTTCAAAAGGAAAATACATTGATAGGTATGAGAAGAAGAGCAAGAAGAGAAGTCACAAGAGGGAGAAGAGAGTTGCTTGAACAGTAAGGAATGGAGCCAGATACACTGGAGAATGGATAGGGAGTCAAAGAGATGGCTATGGTGTCCAAGTTTGGAAGGATGGCTCCAAGTACGAAGGAACCTGGTTAAATGACAAAGCTTATGGCTTTGGGACTCTATATCACGCTGACGGGGATGTGTATGAGGGTGAATGGAAAGATGATAAAGCTCATAACTATGGCAAATATACTCAATCCGATGGAACCATTTATGAGGGCAAATGGAAGGAGGATAAGAAACATGGACATGGAAAAGAAACTTGGCCTGGCGGTGATTGATATGAAGGAAAGTATATAGATGGAAAAAAGTGAGGAAAAGGAATGCTATTTTTAGCTGATGGTTCTGTTTACGAAGGTGAGTTTGCTAATAATGAGATTAATGGCAAGGGAAAATGCGAATGGGTTGATGGAAAATGATACAAAGGTTCTTGGGTAAATAACAAGATGGATGGGAAAGGAAAGCTTACCTGGAGAGATGGCAGATATTACAAAGGAGAGTTTAAAGATAACAAGAAACATGGCAAAGGCAAATTTACTATGGCTGATGGTAGGGCTTATGATGGGGAGTGGCTGAATGGGAAGCAACATGGTAAGGGTATTTTTATTAAGGATGGAACAACAAGAGAGGGAGAATGAGTAGAAGGTAGTCGTGTAAGATGGCTGTAATGTATTTATAACACATTTCTACAAAAGGAACATTGTCAATAAATATTTTAATCCTTGGGGTTTTGGGGTTTTGGGGTTTTGGGG